AAGTCCATGTATATGACATCTACAGCCCTTCCCTCATCTATCAACTTTGTCACTTCCTCAAAGAATTCTATCAAGTTGGTAAGACATGACCTTCCCTGCACAAAACCATGCTGCCTATCACTAATAAGCCCATCTTCTTCCAAATGTAAACAGATCCTATCCCTCAGTAGCTTCTCCAGCAGCTTCCCCACCACTGACGTCAGGCTCACCGGTCTATAATACTGGATTATCCTTGCTACCCTTCTTAAACAAGGGGACAACATTAGCAATTCTCCAGTCCTCCGGGACCTCACCCGTGCTCAAGGATACTACAAAGATATCTGTTAAGGCCCCAGCTATTTCCTCTCTCGCTTCCCTCAGTAACCTGGGAGAGATTCCATCTAGACCTGGGTACTTGTCCACCCTAATGCCTTTTAGAATACCCAACATTTGCCCCCCTTATGCCGACTTGACCTCGAGTAATCAAGCATCTATCCCTAACCTCAACATCCGTCATGTCCCTCTCCTCAGTGAATACTGACGCAAAGTTCTCATTAAGAATCTCACTCATTTTCTCTGACTCCTCGCTTAACTTCCCTCTTCTGTCCTTGAGTGGGCCAACCCTTTCTCTAGTTACCCTCTTGCTCCTTATGTATGAATAAAAGGCTTTGGGATTTTCCTTAACCCTGTTTGCTAAAGATATTTCATGACCCTTTTTAGCCCTCTTAATTCCTCATTTCAGATTGATCCCACTTTCCCGATATTCTTCCAAAGCTTCGTCTGTTTTCAGTCGCCTAGACTTTATGTATGCTTCCTTTTTCCTCTTTGCTAGTCTCACAATTTCACCTGTCATCCATGGTTCCCTAATCTTGCCCTTTCTATCCCTTATTTTCACAGGGACATGTCTGTCCTGCACTCTAATCAACCTCCCTTTAAAAGCCTCCCACATATCAAATGTGGATTTACCCTCAAACAGCTGCTCCCAATCTACATTCCCCAGCTCCTGTCAAATTTTGCTATAGTTGGCCTTCCGCCAATTCAGCACTCTTCCTTTAGGACCATTCTTGTCTTTGTCCATCAGTATTCTAAAACTTACGGAATTGTGATCACTATTCCCAAAGTAATCCCCTACTGAAACTTCAACCATCTGGCCGGGCTCATTCCCCAATACCAGGTCCAGTATGGCCCCTTCCCAAGTTGGATTATTTACATACTGCTCTAGAAAACCCTCCTGGATGCTCCTTACAAATTCTGCTCCATCTAAACCCCTAACACTAAGTGAATCCCAGTCAGTGTTGGGAAAATTAAAATCTCCCATCACCACCACCCTGTTGCTCCTACATCTTTCCATAATCTGTCTACATATTTGTGCCTCTATCTCACGCTCGCTGTTGGGAGGCCTGTAGTACAGCCCCAAAATTGTTATCGTACCCTTCCTATTTCTGAGCTCTGCCCATATTGCCTCACTGCTCGAGGATCGGTGCAGACTCGTTGGGCCGAATGGACTGCTTCCACACTGTGTGGATTCTACGATTCTAATCGTACCTACATGATGCCCCTAAGTAAAATCATAGAAATGTTACAATGTTAGTTTTCACATAAATGCTAATGACACCCAGCTGTATCTCACTATCACTTCTCATGGGTCCTTTACCATTGCCAAATTTTAAAATTCTACATCTAGAACAGGAGAAGAAATTTATCTTCAATTTAACACTGGAAAACTGGAGGCTATGGTTTTTGGTTCCCATGCTAAACACTATCTCTTAAATATCAAGTCCATGTCTCACTCTGACAACAGTTTGAGACTAGCCATTCTGTTCACAACTTGGTGAAATGTTTGACTCTAAGATGAGCTTCTTGTCTCATGTTCATAGCATTACTAAGACTGCCTACTTCCACCTCAGAAATATCACCTACCTCAGCTCTTTTGCTGCTGAAATCCTCATTCGTGTCTTTCTTATCTCCAGACTTGACTATTCCAATACATTCTTGGCTGGTCTACCATATTCTTGGATTCATAAACTTGAAGTCATCCAAACCTCTGAAGCCCATGTTTTAATTTGCATCAAGGTCCATTCACCTATCATCCTGTTCTTGTTTATATACACTGGCTTGTGGTCAAGCCATATTTTGATTTAAAAATTCTCATCTTTGTGTTCAAATCTCTCTATTGTCTTTCTCCTTTGTAAATCCAAACCCCTAAATACATGTAAGATAAAACAAAGAACTGCAGATGCTGGAAATCCGAAACAAAAAAACAGAAATTGCTGGAGAAACTCAGCAGGTCTGGCAGCATCTGTGGGAGAGAAACAGAGTTAATGTTTTGGGTCTAGTGATCCTTTCTTCAAAACCTAGATGTATGCACTCTTTTAATTCCGCCCTCTTGAGTATCTCCAATTTTAGTTGCTTTACCGTTGATGACCATGCGCCAAGTTCTCGGCTCTAAATTCTGGAATAACCTCCCTACATCGTCTGCCTCTTTAACTTGCTCTCCTTCTGTAAGACAATCCTCAAAACCTAACTTTATTTGATCAAGCTTTTGATCATCTGATCTAATATCTCCTTATAGGATTCAATGTCATATTTTGTTTTATAATCCTCCACTGAAGCACCTAGGGACGTTATTATGTTAAAGTTCAAAGTATATCAGTACTTGTGTATGAATACTCTAATAATGTTTACCATTTAATATTGTAAGATTAACAGCAAGTAAATGAAACAGTACGTTAGAAGTCACATCAGTAAATGTGACAACACTTAAAGCACAAACAGCAGAGCTGGGACTCCATTGTGCTACCCTGTTTGATGCTAATGGGTCTGTATTTAAACCTACATTCAAACAGACAAATCACAGTTTATGGAAGGTGCTGAAATATGATTGTGGGGACAGATTACGTATCATTTCACAGGGCATCTCCCCCCTTCTCCATTCACATATCACTATCAGTAAGAAAACCAAACATTTTAGCATTATGTAGTAAAACAGTTCTTAGGAATTTCAAGATGGAATCACAATTATCATATGTTTGCAATCTTTTCAGAATGTGTACTTTACCCTGAAATTAGTGTGGAGGCTTTGATTCACAAAACATTGTAGTATCTGAGCAATACATTGTGCCATCCATCTTCTGTGCTGGCACCAAAAGTCTGGAATCAAAACCAAGCTTGTCAACCATCTGGTTTCCCAGGGCCTCAGTTAAAATTTACGCTGCAAAGAGAAGTATTTTAATCTCCTTTTCCACACACTGGTGAAAATGAAGTCTTGCTTAGAGATGAAAGAATTTTTAAATTTTTTTTATCTTTGTAGGTTTGCAGCATTTGCAATTTTCTTATGTTGCTAAACGATGTATCAGAGTTGCCTCTCCGTGTTAATAGGATTAATTCAGAGCTCTCAGGGTCTGCAGAGCAGGCTATGACTGTTCAAATCTCTGTGTGGGTAAACAAGCCATTACTTCCTCCCTGGGAAACGAATAGAGGACAACATATATTGTGTCCTTAAACATTCCCTCCAATTGCCAGATGCACTAAATTGATACTCACTTGTCCATGAAGATTTGTGCTGCCATTTCTGTTCCTTACATTCATTGCTTAGACACAGACTCCACAGAAAAGCTATTAATCCTCTTTATTTACAAAAATAATTCCGCCTTACCCAAATCCAGCCCACACTTTGTTCAGTACAAGGAGTCATATTGGTTTCAATCTTTGTTCAAAGAAAATATTCGTGCTCAATATCTTAAAAAAGAGAGCTATTCTATGATTTCAGAACATGTCTGTATTCTATTTATTTATCTTTTATTTGCGTAAGACTTTAATTTTAATTTGAACTGGATATGTAAC